ATACATATATAAATATATATTATTTTAATAAATATATATATATATATATAAAAAGAGAAAACATTATCATCTTTAGCCATATGCCAACCACTTTGCGTCTGCCTATTGAGTCCCATATTCTATTTATTCATGTTAAGTGCTGCATGAGTGTTTACTAAAATTTGCATATTTACTCTTGCACAAATTCTAACTACATTACATATTGTCTCCCTATTTTCCTTTCTAGTCCTTTTCCATTAATTTTATTTACCCATCTCATATACATATGGACTTTTTTTCTCCCATGTTTGTTTTCAAATCTACAATATTTATGGTCTTCAAACATGAAATCATAATATTCATATTTTTCTGCTACCTTAAAAACCAATGGATTCAGTCTCTTTAATTTTAAATTTTAATGTTGGTGTCCATGATTCTTGTACGTCAGGCTACGCTTATGCAAGTAGTCCCCAAGATTGCTTCATCCACTTCACTAATAAATTGCTTTCTCCTCTATCTCATCTTCAATTGTGTCAATGTTCTCTCAATATTCTTTTGTTATCTTCAATTTCAATCATTTTTTCTTCCCTAATTAATAATAATCAATAATAATATTATTTGAAGTTTAAAATAAGATTATGTTGATGGCTTAAATTTTTATAGATACCTTTTCTTTTTATTTCTTGTTGGCTTATGTTAGACATATTTGTCTTGCTTCTCTCCTTATCAAAGAAATCAATATTGAGATCTTATTGCAAATTTAATAGTGTAATTTCATTATTATCATCATGCACAAATCATTCATTATCTGATAGCCCATCATTACAAAGGAATCCTAATAATCTTTTGAAGTCTTTTCTTCAAATGTTTATTTTTTGCTCTCTTATTATACATAATGTAAACCAAAAAATTATCCTTAAGATGGTCAAATGATTTCTCCTTTTAGTATGAACTTGATTATATGAACTCTAATTTCTATCACAATTTGACGATGAACATGTTAGTCCAAATACATTAACAACAACTCGCTATAGCATTGGATTGCCATCGACAAAATTGAATCCAACATCAACTAAATTTAAAAAATAATTAAAATTGGAAGAATCCTTTCTTATTTCAACTGATAAATATTGAAAATTATCTGTAGAGCAGATAGCTACATCTTTGGCTTTCTCTAGCCCAAAGTATCCATCTTTTCAAATACTAGAAGCTGTAGATTAGCCTTTGTTCTCTCAATTGAATCAGCTATCAACCTATCCGTAATATGGTATAAACTTAATCTTTTCTTAAGATTGATTGACTTGCTCTCAGTATATTAAAATCGAGGATTAAGGTAATATTTTGTGGCATGCAAACAACGATGAAGTTGAAGCTCCTACTTTTCATCAATAATTTCCTTAGTCTTTCTTGTATCTAGACTCATCTCCTCCTAAGTTATGAGCTGTCGACTCCTTGGCCTTCTTAATTGCATAATAAATTAAGCCCATAGCTAGTTTTTTCTTTGCATCAATCATCCTTAATGCTTGAACCAATGGCTTTGTTGTTATTATTGCATGACTAAATGCTTAACCAACACATTTCATTCAAAACAATCTTGTTCTTTTCGAGGTTGTAAAAATGTTGTTTTCTACCATATACTAGGATTCTTATAAACAAGTTCCTATTTAACATTTTTTCTGTCTGCTGATCTGACGTGGAAGAATATATATATATATATATATATATATATATATTTTTTTTTCAGAACTTAAAGTCACGGCAAATACCTAATGAGCAGGAAGATGGCAGTTCTGCTCAATTATTTTCTTCACTTGAAGATGATTTTGATGATCATGCATCTCTTCCCGGGGGGTATCCTCTTACCAGTTCTGGTCAGCAGGCTACACTGGGCTCCATTCCTTTGCAGGGAGTGTCAATCTCAATGGAAGAAAAGAAGGAGTTACTTATTATTACTAGAAATAGCATTGAGATCTTCTCTTCTCTGTTGAACACACAGACCAAGGAGAAGCCTATAAAGGTATTCGTATAGATGTCTTGGTTCATTTGCTGATTATTCATAACATAATAATGATAGCTGTTTGTTCTAGTCTCATATAAGAGTGTTCTTTGTTTGTGTATTGAACTTTAAATAAGCATATTTTCCCAATTATAGAACGTCCAACTATTGCTATTGGCATAAGAGGAAATGCACAAGCATTGGATAGCTTATTCGGTTATAGTTCAGTTTTCCCCGCATTTTCTATTTCCATCTTTTCTTTTTTCAATTAATCTATAAAGACTTTTTATCTCTTAAAATCCAATTTGACCTAATTGAGTATTGATTTGAAGTGGCCAGTTTATTTGAGAAGACAAAAGTGTTGTGATGTAGGACAACTAGTGACAAAAGCATAATGGATATTTTTGGTAGTTTGAAATTTCGAGTTGTGAAGAGAAGAATCTAGTTTAGATTAAGAAGTAGAGAGGTAAAGAGAAAGGATTGAGAATATTCATAGAATAAATGCCACAAAGGGAGGGTAGGAGAATGTAGCGAGAAATAAAGCATGAAGAAGCTCTATGCTTACAAGTAGGAGGGAGGATAAACCGAAGAAAGAATGTCAAAGAAAATGCTATTTCTTAATTTATTTATTAACAATCTTTAATTATAACCTAAAGCCTATTATTTGTTATAATAGTCATAAACTCATGGACATTCTAATGCTGCGACCTTAAAATAATGAGAAGTATGCCCAAAAAATTACTATTTTTTTAGAGGATTCAAAACTTTGATTTACTTAGATATTAAAGGTAATATCAATCCATCGATTGGTTTGTGGTGTAAGCAGGAGTTTCCTTATGACATGTGATAAATAAGGACAAATGAATAATTGACTAGGGGTTGTTTGGTTGGGTAAAAAAAGAATGCAGTATAAAAAAAATTTAGTGTAAAAGAAATACAGTGTAAAAGGAATACTTTTGAGTTATTTGGATGAGTGTAAAGTAAATTCAAGTGAATGTTTTTTTTATTTGGTTTGAAGTAAAATGAATGTAGTCTAAAGTCTAAAGATGGTGGTGACCGGCGGATAGAGGTGGCTGGTAGCGAGTGGCGACGGTGGTGTCTGGTGGCAGTGGTGATGGCCGACGGCGGTTGGTCGGTGGCAGCGATCAAGCGTGCTTGTTTGCGGTGTAAACCATTCTCGCTCAAGACGAGTTTGGTTTACCTAAAAAATGAACTAAAATGGTTTACATTACATTTACTTTACTTTGCATTCTTTTTTCATTCAACCAAACACACAACTTTTCAAAACTCCTGTATTTGGAATACTTTACATCCATTTGAAATCCAACCAAAAAGCCCCTAAGTATGACTATAATAATAAATAAGACTATCAGTCTATCACATTACATCAATATGAAGTTTATTATTTGTACCGTTAAACACAACTTTCGTTAGCTTCATATTATTTTTCAAATCACCCAACCAACATTCATGTGTTAGTCTATTGCAAGATATTCATTGTAACAAAGCATAACTTGTGAGCACTTTAAGGAAAGAGAGCTATGAAAACTATTTTTTAACATGTAAGGAACAATGCAATGCTAGTAAGTCAAAAACTTCCTCATCAATGTAGCCACAAAAAGTCGAGGCAATTAGTTTCTGCTTCCTTTTGCTCTCCTACCCAATCAAATCTTGCTTTGCTTCCCATTGAAGGAAGGAGACTCTGGCTTACCTTTCCTAACTCGAAGGCTTGATTAAATGATCTCTCTTTGAGGTTCCCTTATCTTTTATAGAAGAGTAAGGATTATAATCAATGGTTGAGATCAAGACACTTGACCTTCATCTAAGGGTAAAGGAATCAATGTACTAAAATCTCAGGACACATGGTACTTAATGAAACCTTTTTCCCACTATTTTACTTATTGTGTGAGTCATCATACTACTCTTGTGCCTTAGAAAGGGACCACTAGAGATTCTCTCTTTGAAAAAAAAAGTGCGTGGACTCTCTCAGATTTACTTTTGATTGATCTCCCTTAAATCTATTTGGCTGAAGGAAATCACCTCGCATGCATTCAAACTACTCAACAATTGTTAGATTGAGTTTTCATAGCTTGAATTCTTTTGATGCTTGATTGAATCGAGCTATAGTTAACCAAATGTTTGGTTTCGGCTTAACCATCCTTTTGGGTTGTGTTAGGCCGATTCACCCTGAACCGGCCCAGCTGGCTCAAGGGCCGGCTCAATTTTATTACAGGAGGCGGAAACCGTCCATAGTGAGGGCCCCACTTGTCCAATTGAATTCAAATTGAAATGGAGGGGGCTTGGGAGGGAAATTAGATTAGGAAAACTTTTGTATTAAAGAGCATAAGAGGATTAGGGAGGGATTATATTTTGATTTTTTCTCAATTAGGGTTTCTTGGCGACTTGGGCTCTAAACTCTCTTGTCTAGAGATTTGGGAGAGACTATCCTCCTCTCGAATTGAGGATCTCTTGTATCTTGTTTTCCTTATTGTTTGGCTTTGATTTTCCTACTGTAATATATTATTTTGGGCTGTTTTCACCCAGATTTAACATTATTCTCGCTGTTTTTCATCAATTGGAGATAGATTTGCTTACGAACTCAACTATTACCCTTAGGGTTACTTGCGAACTTAAGTATTTACTATCAAATTTGTATCATAGCAAGTCTTGGGACCAGTATAGGGCTGATTTTGGCTAATTCCAGCAGCTGTTTTTGGTCAGGGAAAGTGGCAAATATTTTTGGAGACCCAAATTCATATTTTGTGAATCTACAAACTTCGGATAGTGATGGCGGCTAAGAAAGTGGATGCTTTGGAAGAAAGGATTGAAGGGAGATGAATCAAATCAAGACAACGGTGGAGGAAATGATTTCCTCTATGGAAGGACAAATAGTCGATCTCCGGGACATGATGAAGAAAATGTTGGAAATTCACAACCAAATGGCGGCTTCGGTGGCAAAAGGTGTGGAAGGGAAAAATACAAATTCTGAAATCCGTAGGGAGGAAGATGAGGTGAAAATCATGGAAGGAGAAGAAGAAGACCCCATCTAGAGCCTATCCAGAGGGAAGAAAGAGGCGGTGGATATGGGGAACGTCAGGAGAGATACTATGACCGTCAATGTGCTAATTTAGAAGAAAGAAGGGCGGAATTTGAAGGGGGTTTGGGCTATGACAGGGCAAGGGAAGACCGGGAGATGTGGGGAGGGTCTAGCACTTGGGAGAGGGGAAGCTATGGAAGAATAAGGGGGAATGGTGACGATCAGAAGGTTAGGAAGCTGAAGATGCTCATATTTGAAGGAGAGGATGCATATAGGTAGATTTATAAGGTGGAGAGATACTTCGCTGTTAATGGGCTGACGGAGGAGAAGCTGACATCAACAGACTTATGCTTGGAAGGGAAGACTTTGTCATGGTATTAGTGGAGAGACCAGAGGTGACCTATTAGGAACTGGAGGGAATTCAAGGACTGTATAATAGAACGTTTCCAAACCGATCGGGGAGGAGATTTCTATAAGCAGTTATTTGCTCTGACACAAGAGGGATCAGTCGCAGACTATCGGGAACGGTTTGAGCACCTGGCCAGTAGAGTGGAGCGATTATCAGATACTGTATTGGAGGGGAACTTCATGAAGGGGTTGAAGGCAGAGATCCGAGCAACATTGAAAGTTCTGCTGCCTCGTGACTTGGGGAGGCCATGAAGTTAGCACAGTTAGTTGAAAATCAGAGAAATCTGGAGAGGGGAGCCAGGAGTAACAACACAGGGAGCACTTATAGGATGATGACCACCCATCTAGCACCTAAAGGTCCTGCAACAGGAGGAAGTCAAGAGGCCACTAGGGTGAAGATAGTAGGAGGAGGGAGCGGGGGAAATTTCAAGCGGCTGACAGAAAAAGAGATGCAGGAGAAGAGGGCTAAGGGATTGTGCTTCAGGTGCGATGAGAAGCATACGCCAGGGCATCGGTGCAAGGATTGAATTCTTCAGTTTCTCACCTTCTATGATGACGAGGAAGCTGAGGGAGGTGAGGAGGAGATGTAGGAGAAGCTCCATTTGGATCTGACCGAGGTTTACTTGAACTCGGTGGTAGGATTCACTATGAATCATACCATGAAGGTGAAGGGGGAGATAGAGGACAGGGAGGTGGTGGTTCTGATTGATAGTGGGGTTACTTACAATTTCATTTCCACTCAAGTCATCGACCAATTGGGAGTAAGATTGGTGGATACCGGTTGTTATGGGGTGTGATGGATATGGGGAAGGTGGAGAAAGAACAGAGGATTTGCAGAGGAGTGCTACTGACTATCCAGGGGATTCATGTGAGGGAAGATTTTCTTCCACTGGAGTTAGGGAGTAAAGATGTCATCCTGGGGATGAAATGGCTATAGACTTTGGGAGACACCAAAGTGAATTGGGGAGCACTCACTATGGAGTTGATGATAGATGGAAGGAAGATGGTGATAAGGGAGATGCTGGGCTATTAAAATTCTTGGTTTCTCTTAAAATTATGGTGAGGGATATACAGTTGGCGGGTGGAGGATACTTGGTGGAGCTGTACAGCTTGGAGGGAGCTAGAGTGGAAGAGGGTGGGGACATACCCCTCTCCATATAGCCACTGATTCAGCAGTTCCAAGAGGTGTTCCAGCCACCTCAGAGATTGCCACCGCACAGGGAGCAGGAGCACGCAATCATTTTGAAGGAGGGTGTGCCACCCATTAGCGTACGACCTTATTGCTACCCTTAGTTTCAGAAAGATGAAATTGAAAAGTTGATTAGAGAGATATTGGAGGCAAGAATCATGAAACCCAACATCAGTCGCTTCTCTTGTTCGGTTATATTGGTGAAGAAGAAAGACGGCAGCTGGCGATTCTGTGTGGACTACAGGGCGCTTAACAAGAAAATTGTACCTCACAAGTTTCCTATACCAGTTATTGATGTGGTATTAGATGAATTGAGTGGAACAGTGATCTTTAGCATGATAGATTTGAAATCAGAATACCATCAGATCCGAATGAAGGAGGATGTGCCCAAGACTGCCTTCAAAACTCACGAGGATCACTATGAGTTCCTGATGATGTCTTTTGACCTCACCAATGCTCCATCGACTTTTCAGGCACTTATGAATAAGGTTTTCAAACCTTATCTCAGACGATTTGTATTGATATTCTTCGATGACATCCTAGTCTACAACATGACATAAGAGGAGCATTGGGAGCATTTAAAAAGAGTGTTAGAGGTGCTGCAGGAGCACCAACTGAGAATCAACTTGAAGAAGTGTTGCTTTGCAAAAGCTAGTGTAGAGTACTTGGGCCATGCTGTATCAAAGAAGGGGTGGCAGCAGATCAATCCAAAATTGAGGCAATGCTAAAGTGGTCAGTGCCTAAAAATTTAAAGGAGTGAGGGGATTCTTAGGACTGACAAGATACTACAGAAGGTTTGTAAAGGGATACAACACCATAGCATGGTCACTCATGGAGCAGTTGAAGAAGGACGATTTCCTATGGGGCTACCACATCAGCATTTAAGAGCTTGAAGAAGGCTATGACTACGGTACCGGTCCTAGCTTTACCAGATTTCACTCAGATCTTCATAGTTGAGACAGATGCGTCCGGGTATGGGTTGGGTGTAGTGCTTATGTAGAGTCATAGGCTTATTGCCTATTTCAGCCAGGTGTTGACTGCTAGAGCCAGGTTGAAGTCAGTCTACAAGAGAGAGTTAATGACCATCCAGAAGTGGCGGCCCTATCTACTTGGGAGGCATTTCATTGTCAGGACAGATCAGTGGAGCTTGAAATACCAACTGGAACAGCGGATGGTAACAAAGGAGCATCAGAGGTGGCTGTCCAAGTTGCTAGGGTATGATTTTGAGATTTAGTATAGATAAGGAGTGGAGAACAAGGTGGAAAACGTCTTGTCCAGATGTATGGTGGAGCTGCAGACAGTGGCACTATATGTTCCTTTAATGCTAGGTTGGGAGGCCATCAGAGGGATGATGATCTGGGGAAGATCTGGGCAGATTTACTGAGAAAAGAGGGTAGCCACCCAGGATACTCATTGGAGGGGGGCAGATTGCTATACCAGGGGAGGTTTGTGATGCCCCAGACTTCGATTCACATCCCAAACTTATTCCAGGAGTTTCATGGAAGTGATATTTGGGGCCATTCAGGAGTGCAGAAGACATACATGAGGCTAGCTTCGGAGCATTACTGGAAGGGAATGCATAAAGATGTAGAGGAGATGGTGGCCAGATGTGAGGTATGTCAAAGGAACAAATTCCTGACTATGTCACCAGGAGGACTACTACAGCCGTTGACTCTACCGGGACGAGTATGGGAGGAGATATCCATGGACTTCATAGATGGGTTGCCCCGTTCATAAGGTTTCACGGTGCTCTTAGTGGTGGTGGACAGATTGAGCAAGTATGATCACTTCATCCCCCTTCAACACGCTTACACCGCAGTGATAGTGGCTTCAATTTTCATCAGAGAGGTGGTCAGATTGCATGGGGTACCAAAGGCGATAGTATCAGATAGAGATAAGGTGTTCCTCAGCCACTTTTGGAGGGAGTTCAGATTACAGGGGATAGTTCTGAAGAGTAGCACAGTTTACCACCCACATATGGATGGCCAAACGGAAGTAGTCAACAGGAGCTTAGAGACTTACCTGAGATGCTTTGTTTCGGAGACACCCAAGCTATGGGCCAAGTGACTATCATGGGTTGAATACTGGTACAACACATCTTTTCATTATGCTTCTCAGATGATCTCTTTCAAGGTGTTGTATAGACGCGATCCTCCCCACTAAGTGCAATTTGGAAGTAGTAGTACTCCAGTTTTTTCAATAGAGTGCTTGGAGGAGAGGGATCGACTACTGGAGGAGTTGAAGAGACATTTGCTGAGGGCCCAACAAATTATGAAGAAATAGGCTGATGGGCATAGGAAGGACATCCAGTTTGAAGTGGGGGAGATGATATTCTTGAAGCTCCGACCATACAGACATAAGACAATCGCCAACAGGAGGAATGAAAAGCTTGCTCCAAGGTACTTTGGACCTTATGAAGTGCTGGAGAAGGTCGAAGCAGTAGCGTATTGGCTGAAATTACCACCAACGGCGACTATACATCCGATTTTTCACGTATCTTAGCTGAGAAGGGCCATTGATGATTATACAACTAACTCCGAGTTACCGGTGACACTTACTGAGGATTTAGAGGTGGTTTTGGAACCCTTAGAGCTGACGGGGGTTCTCCATAAAGAATAGGGAACTAAGGAAGTGTTGATTAAGTGGAAGAACCTTCCTGACTACGAGGCCACGTGAGAACCATTCGAGAGGGTGAAACATCAGTTTCATGGTTTTCACCTTGAGGGCAAGGTGATTCTTTGGGATGGCGGTATTGTTAGGCTGGTTCACCCTGAACCGGCCCAGCCGGCCCAAGGCCCTGCTCAATTTTATTACAGGCGGCAGAAACCGTCCTCCCTTGGCTTTGCCCGCCCATAGTGAGGGCCCCACTTGTTCAACTGAATTTAAATTGAAAAGGAGGGGGCAGCTAGGGCTTGGGATGGAAATTAGATTAGGAAAGCTTTTGTATTAAAGAGCATGAGAGTATTAGGGAGGGATTATGTTTTGATTTGTTCTCAATTAGGGTTTCTTGGCAACTTGGGCTCTAGACTCTCTTGTCTAGAGATTTGGGAGAGACGATCCTCTCGAATTGAGGATCTCTTATATCTTGTTTTTCTTATTGTTTGGCTTTGATTTTCCTACCGCAATATATTATTTTGGGCTGTTTTCACCCAGATTTCACATTATTCTGGCTGTTTTTCACCAATTGGAGATAGGTTTGCTTGCGAACTCAAGTAATACCCATAGGGTTACTTGCGAACTCAAATATTTCCTATCAGGTTGTTGTGAGAAACACCAAGTTAAATGCTTGGGGTTTTACAATAATAAACTTTATTCTATTTAAAATGATGTCCTCAAATTTCACACATGTATGAGTGTATACATGAAGCGGTCACTATTTCTCTTTTGGCTTCTACTCACATGTTCTATGTGATTTCTTGCTCGATTTTACTCTTCGAAAGTTCCTTAATCATCAAAACCTCTTTTTGCATAATTATCATTGTTATCGAGCTAAAGATTCACTTTACCTGATATTTAAAACTCAAATTATGTTGAATCTTATGCCCTCTGGGCCATAACAAACAAAATACGTTAGGTGGTCAGTGAAGAGATTGAAAAAAAATCAAACAATTACATGTATCGTAGCATAAGCTTTTATATCCGAAAAAATTGTTTGACTCATTTTGGTAGGCTCGCTTTGAGGAAAAGTCTGCGTTGAAGGGAATTTTCTTGAGCATTCAGTCATATTATTAATTTTCTCAATCTTGTGCTTTCCATAATATTTTCCAAATCGTTTTGATTTCTGTAAATCTTTTCTATTCAAAGGTGAGAAGCCAGCAACTCCTAGCAGAACCTGCTAGGTAATCAAATTCATACAAAATTCTTTTTGAGATTCAAGATCTCTCTCTCAAGTACAATCAAGCTAGACTCCTCCCAAAATCAAGTGTACAAATTTGAGGATTGTAAGTTGTTGAAGAAAGATGATGAAAGTTGTGTACTCACTTTTTTATCCTCACCAGGAACTCTTTCTAGGATGTTGAGAGTCTTTCTTTGTTGTATTCTTCATTTTGGGCTTTATTGTTTGTTATATATTGTTAAAATGCAGCCATTAAAGCACAAACAAATCCAACGAATACAGTGGTCAATCCGTGGGACGTAGGAGTCACGACAGAATACCTTCCATATTCGGGTAGCTGATTTAGGAAGGATTATATTAGAGTTATTCTATGTTTTTTTGTTTCTTTATTAAGATATCTTGTATAGACCTATAAATAAGAATAGTTTTCTATACTAAAATTAAGCCTTTTTCTTCTCAAACCTCTGTTTTCAACATCGTATCAGAGCCAACGACTTTCATTGCTGTGGAAGAAAGATCGTAAATCGTCGAAGGAGGACAAGAGGAATAAGAAGCGACCGGAAGGCAAAGTTGGAAGCCGAAGAAGGAAAAAGGAAGAAGAAAACCGACGCTAACAGGCCCGATTCCATAAGGTTGTCGGAAGTTGTCGCAAACAGAAGTGGGATAGAGCCTTGCCAATGTCGACTCCAGACGTTGCCAAAGATAGTGTTGGGAGCGACTGACGCGTGCGGAAGATCGTGCCCTAGTCGTGGCTTGATCCGTGCCTTGCCTTGTCGACGCCGACTCTAGACACTGCCAGAAGGGGAGCGATTGACACGTGCAGAAGACCTTGCTCTAGCCGCAGCTGGATATGTACGGAAGAAGCCTGCACTGTGCTGCACGATCTGAGCCTTTAAAACTCGAGCTTTGATCAAATTGAGGAGCCTATGGTGGACCAAGGATGAGGCGACCTCCAAAGCATGTAACATTCCTATCGTCTAAATTGGAAGAACTATCTAAAGTAGTCTCAATTTGTGAAGACCTACTTGAAGGGGAAAGAAAAAATTACACCACCTCCTCAGAGGAGGACCAAAAGAAGGAGATCCTAATTTTTGGGCATGGGATGAAGCGGACTTTATGATTATGTCATGGTTGTGAAATTCCATGACTCCATAAATTAGCGATACATTCATGCCTTTCCACTGCGAAGGACATATGTGATACTGCCAGATAGACCTCCAAAGCTCGGGATGCGGCTCAAATCTTTGAAATTAAAATCAAAGTTAGAAGCAAAAAGCAAGGGAGTAAGACCATGACGGAGTATGCCACCCTTCTACAAAATCTGTGGCAAAAACTTGATCACTACAAATGCATGGAAATCAGATGTTTGGAAGATGCTGCGATCCTAAAGAACTTTATTAAAAAAGATAGAGTTTATAATTTTCTTGCAGGACTAAATGCAGAATTTGATCAGGTTAAAGTCCAAATCCTCGACAAAAAGGAGACGTCATCACTTAATGAAACCATTTCTCTCATCCGCGCGGTAGAAAGCCGACGAGGAGTGATGTTAGAATCAAATGTCATTTAAAGTTCAACAATGGTGATGAACAAAGAATCGTCATGGAAGGAGAAAGGTAAATATTTTTCAAAATTCAAGGACAAAGACTCACTTTGGTGCAGTTATAACAAGAAGTCAAGTTCACACTAAAGAAACGTGCTGGAAAATACATGGAAAACCCCTCAATAAGGAGTGGAATCAAAGAACTGAAACAAGTCAGCCTAACCCAGAAGCACAGTCCAATCTTGGAGAATTCAATAAAGAAGATATTGATAAGCTAAAACGACTCGTATCTCTTGAAAAAACAAATGCTTCTTCTTCATTTGCACTCTCAAGACCAGAGATCTGGGAAGACGATTGGACATGCTAAGGAGAAAGTTGGACTGTACCACCTGGAAGAACTGTACTAAGTTCACACTACCGGCCTTCATTGCTGGATGTTGACCTCTGTAAAAAAACCAAAGGAGAAAGAGAGAAAGACCAGTGGATCCACGACATCTGCCCGAAATCTCGACTGAAATCCCGAAATCCTTTCCGAAATCCCTCCGAGACATTGTGCAGCAGCGCCGAATCGGTCATCTCCCGCAAATCCCTCGCAGAGCATCGAACGATGCCCCTCGACGCCTTTAAAACGACGAACAAACGAAGCCTTCGGGTGATTCTCACTCCCGATACCTCTCCACGCGAAATCCCTCAGCCGTCCCGACCTCCTCCGATCTCCATCCAGCTTCCACGACCTCTTCTCCTCCCGTAACCCCACCTCACTGCCTCCGTTCCAACAGCCCGACCTCCGCCTCACTCCAGTTCGCAGAGAGGAAGCATCCCTTACCTCATCTTCCCCAAGTCGAGCTCCCTCCATCCCGTCCGAAGCCAAGCCCGATCGTCGCCCCTCTGCCGCTGTTCGACTCT